CTTCCTGCACCACCTGTAACCTCTGACCTTGCTGTAGTATCTAGCTGTGGGAAGTGCCTTGCTCATACTGTCTCTCCATCAGCATCAGGAGGGATGTTGCCCTGGGCACTTGGGCCAAAGCTCAGCGGTAGCAGGGAGGTGGCTGGTGGGGAATGGGACAGACGGAGAGGTGCTTTGCCAGGGACTAAGACAAGCAAGAATGCCCAGAGGGTACCTTGGTAGTTTCTGACTGTGGGGAGCACCAGGGATGTTACAGTTGTGGTTACAACTGTAGCAGGCTGTACCACAGGAAGGGAACTACTTTAAAATGATGACACTGGGGAAAACATGTAGAGCTCCTTAGAGACCTGAAATTCGAAGACCAGGTGAGTGGGTGTCCTGGCAAGCAGGGGGGGCCCAGGAGGCTATGGAGGGCTTCTCAAAAGATATGGTGTTCTTCTAACTTTCAAAGATCCTTTGAACTCTTCAGCAAAGAACTGGTGCAGGCTCTTGGAGAAATGGTGTGTGGCAAAGCAGGAATCTGTACCATTGGCTTATCTAATCACCTCTCTCTTGCCTTCCCAATTCCCCTTTTTCATTCTTTCTGTAACCATTTGCCTTTGTTCCCCTCTGTCTCTTCTGAATAGACAATAAATTCCTATATGACAACAACTGTTTGAATGAAAAAATAAATATGTGAGCTTGAAGTGTTTGTTGAAGTGCTGTTACGCCCAAAGCCTTGCATGACGAGTTGTTTGGGTCTCGGCAACTCTTTATAGCAGTGGAATAACTCTGCAGGAGTAGTGGTGGCGTGGAGGAGCTCTGAGCCCTGCTTGAAGTGTCAGAGGATGGTGTGTGGCAATGCCACTGAGTCACGCTGGCTGCAGAGGTGGAGAGCAGCAGAGGGGCTCTTCATCTGCTTCATTTCCAATGCCTTGAACCTTGCTGCTTTCAGAGGAGCTTGCCCAAAGACTGATCAGTTTCAGTAAAAAAGGAAAATAAATATCTGCTCCTGGTGATGAGCTTGAAAGTTAGAATTGGCAATACCATGGATAACATTGTCTTTTTAATCAAGGAATATTTGGAAGGCTTTTCTGAGAGCTGGTTAAGCAATTGCTCCTTTACGACAAAGCAGAAACTAGTGGGGTATCCTCAGTGTGCCCGCATGGGAAGTTTTCAGTGCTTTTGCACAGAATTACTGTCATTAGCAACGTGGAAGTGTTGGCAGAGGTGTCACACAAGTTCTTAGGGTTTTGTTTGGTTTTGTTTGATCAGGGTACAATCTGGGCCTAACATTTTCACGTTCCTCACTTATACAATGGGCTTAACGCTGTAGCTGTCTTCCTCAAGATGTTTGGAGATCTCCAGACTTAAGCCTTCACGAATGTGAAGTGCCCTGTTGAGGCACATGTGAACCTAGAAGAAAAAAGACTTAGTAAAAAAAAGAACAGCAAGTCCCAATTACATTTCTTGAAGCCTAGTGTTTAGGCACTAGCATAGGAGCCTATTCAAAATAGAGAGAGAGGTTTTAACCGCTAGACCACAATGACTCAAACGTTTACTAAGACGTATCACAAAATGCTTTTATTCCCCTCTCTCACCTTATTATGACTGACTGTTGATGATGAAAAATGCAAATAAGCTGGGGGAGTGGAGGAAAGGTAAAAAACATAGCTAGGCAGAAAGAGTGACTGGAGAGCATCCTTCACCATCCTCCACCATTCTCATCCTGGTAGGTTTGTTGCTGTGGTGGGGATGAATGCTGTGGGGGAGGAAGAGAGAGAAAGAGGAAGTAGCAATCGCGGACGCTTTGCAACCTCAGCAGAAAATACTGATGAGAAATGACAAATACGCAGCTGATGCTGGTGCTCTTCCTGGCGAACGTGTCGGCGTTGCTGCATGACCCCATTTGCTCCTCTGTGAGAGCTCAGCCGTCAGCTTCCCTCAGCCCAAGAACGCGCACAAAGGAAATAAGCTGGGAGGGAATTTGATTTGGGGAAATTCAATTAATCCAAATGAATACAGATGCTGTGTATATACTTAATGATAGTATAATTTGAAAAGCCATTATTTGATAAATAGATGAGCAAACAAAGACCACGGTACGTCAGCCTTTTCTTACCAATGTTTCAAAAATTGACCTTTTATAAGTTAAAGATTTTTTGAAGGCTCTGTATTTCAGATGGCTGTATCATGACAGGATTTGAATTTAAATGCAGCTCATGTGACCCTAAAGGATGTTTGAATTCAATGCACTCTCAGTGACTTATATACAAAGTGATGAAAGTTTATTGATGAATTGTTGACAAATTGTGGAATTTGATGACACAAGTCAATTGCTGCATTGGCTTTTTATCTATTTATCTTATAGCTAGAATGGGACATCCCTCTTTTGGCTTCTTTACAAGTAATAAGATGCGTTAGCCTTAAGAAGCTTAGAGCACAACTCTAGAGTTATTTGAAAAAATAAATTTGAGATATGTGAAAATAATGTGTTTTTTTTTTTCCAGAAGACTTTCAAACACTTTAAAATAGTTTCATTTTCAAGACTTATACTAGTTTTTTTCCTTTTTAATTTTTGCTTTTGTGAAATGACCTTGTGTTTGGAATAGAAACTGTTGAGTGAGAATGCAAAAATGTGTGTGTTTTGTTGGTTTATTTTTCCTATTTAACTAATTTTTTTCTTCTCAAGAAAAGCGTTACATCCAGCAATTCCCCTCTTTTCTAATATAACTTTTTAATGTGAAATAGTTGTATAAAGGTCTTATTCCTTTTTCTGTCTGTGAAAAAACATGCTTTAAAAACTTTAAGTTTGGATGACTTGGCAGAACAGCTGAAATGAAGGAGAAGGATGTGTTGGCTTAGTGAGAAAAAATTTCCAAAGGAGTTTATTTTTGAAGGCCTCAGTTCATTACCATATCCCTAAGAGTGATACTTTGTGGCTGGATTTTACCATAGATTTTTACAAATGTACACAAATACATAGGTTCTAAACTTGTATTTGTATTCATCCATATCCTGCTCTTTGAATATATATACATCTTTCTACTTGTGGGAAGACTTTTTAATATCTTCTCTACACGTTTGTGGATGATCTGCTAGTCAGAGGTAGGTTTGGATCTAAGAGGGAATGACAGGCTCATTGCACCACCCAGGCTGGAGGGGAGCTCAGGAGGTCTCAGTCCAAACCTCCTGCTCATGGCAGGCTCAGCTGTGAATTCAGACCATCTTGCCCAGGACTTTATCCAGTCAGGTCTTGAAAACCTCTAAGGACAGAGACTGCATAACCTCTCTGGGTGACTGTCCTCATGGGGAAAAAGTTTTTCTTTATATCCAGTCTGAAGCTCTCCTGTTTCAAGTTCTGCCTGTTGTGGGTCATCCTCCTGGCATGCCCTGCTGGGAAGAGCCCATCTTCATTATCTTGCTGACCCCATCATAGGTAGTGGAGGGCTGCTGTTAGATGGCCCGTGAAGCTGTCCCTTCTTCAATCTGGAAATGTCTCAGTCCCTCAGTTTTTCCTTGCAGGACAAGTGTTCCAGCTCCAACCATCTTGGTGTCCTCTGTTGAGCTTGTTCCCATTTGTCACTGTCTTTCTTATATTGGGGGGGGTCCCAAACTGTATACAGTATTTAGATGTGGTTCAAACCAAGCCAAGGGGGATAATTATGTCCCTTGATCTGGCTATGCTCCCATCAATATAGCCCAGGATGCTGCTGGCTTTCTTGCAAGCCCACCACTCTCCCAGCATAGCTGGAACACCCGGTTTCTGTCACAGGGTTAGTGATGAAATCATCTATGGGAATATTTACAATGGGAAGGTATTGCTGGCTTTCTGGCAGGTCAATGTGTTTTGAAACGTATACAGCTGCAACAAGCAGCAGTAGTGTTAATATGACTGGAACTGCTGAAGGCTTTTTATCAAAGATGAAAGGAAGGCAGTGGCATAAGGTTGTGCAAGAAATTACTTTGAAGGAAAGAATGGGATTTAGGATTCTGTACATATGTTAAACTCCTTGATTAGTATAGTGCTGCAGTAAACCCAGTGTCTAATGTTTAACTTTGACAACCGTTTGTTTTCAAGAGATGTCAGCAATTTTCTGGTCACTTTAAAGATGTTCTGTTTTTCTTTTCTGATAATGCTGTCCTAATAAAGACAGCTAATATACTGCCCTCCTGTGAAACATTTAATCTGGGGAACTCCAAATATTTTAGAGGTATTAATTAGCAAATTTTCATAACGTTCCTCCAAATGTAGGTAATTACTGTGTACCTCCTTTAAAAGTGTGGAGGTAAAGCTGTGGAAGTGGTCAGTTCAAAGTCAGGTAGTGAGTCAATGCCAGAGTTGGAGCTGGAGCCTCTGAGTGCTCGTTCCCTGCTCGAAAGCTGACAGTCCCATGTCGTCCATCAGCATTTTATTTTCACATTGGGATTTAGCCAAGTGGTAGAGGTAAATATACAGCTGATTTCCTTTCCTTTGATTTTGCAAATAATGCTCCCACAAGGTTGACTTGATCTGAGGGAGAGAGAAATACAAAATTGAAGTGATGTGTATAAAACCCCACTGTTCTCTCAACACTGGAATGTTCAAGGGCTGGTTAGTGCTCTCGGTTTCAAAATCACTTCATTATGTGAAACAAGTTAAAATAGAAAAGAAACCTCACAGAGGAAGTTGGAACATCTCTACTGCTTAGAAGGAAAACTTTATGGTAGTGGGAGTTGGTAGCTTTCAATCATAAATGTTAAGTGCCAGCAGCAATTGGTTTGCATGTAACAGATGGGTACGGCAAATATGAATCATACTGGTTGACAGAGACTCATCTCATCCCACTTGTGGTCTCTGCAGCTTGTGGTAGAAATCATGCAACCAATAGGGCTTGTTGGTAAGTGATATGTAATCTGCTTAACATGGCTTTCCCATACCTTTTGGTACATTCATTGGTTACTTAGTTGGCTGAATAGGCAAAGGAAGGCTCAAATGATACCTTGCTATCCTGTCTGGTAAGAAACAAACACTCACAGAGCATTTTTGAATACAAAAGACACAGTGTCTAATGGGATTCCAGTGCAAATAAGCTGCAAACTGGGTCACTTTTTTTCTGATTCCTGTGACAACTGCTGCTCAGCTCAAGGAGAAAATACAGATGCTATATATGTCTTGAATCTTCAGCCAGACAGATGTGTTTTTCCCTGCACAATGGATTTGCACAATTCCAATGGATTTGAAATCTGCTGTAGGCACACAATGGAAAAGTAGTTTTAACCTGCCTGCTTTCACCAAGCCTTACTCTTCTCATCTCTGTGACCTGCCCTCATATTCCTGGTACATATGATTTTGGTTATTCTGCTTCCACAATCCTTTTCTTCCTCACAAAGATCTTGCCAGATAAATGGGAATCGGGAATTCCTAAATTTTTGCAGTTCTGCCCCCCCCCCGCCCCCCC